TGGGTACTCCATTAAGGAGGTGCCGCAGCGGTGCTGCCAGCACCTTCCGTACCCTCTGCCACTCCCTTAAGCCCTCCTGTGGTTCTTACAGCACCTCATCCTCCAGTCGTCTCCTTGTCTGGTCTACATCCTCTGAAGGGAGCCTTTTACCACAGAAAATGAGCAAGTTTATCTTCACGGTGTGAAGTAGTTGCTCCTGAAGCATTTCTGCAGTCTTAGGTGAGGTCAGACTGAACAATACACAGCTAGAACTTCAGGCCTCTCTTGTTTCTGCAATATTACATATGACTCTTTCAGAATCTCTCTCTATATATTTTTAAGTTGTACAAAACACTTACCAAATGATAGTGTTGCTTCCCTGGCTGCATTTCGAACTTCCTCCGCTTCAGATTGGCACAGATGGGCAACCTCCTCAATGCTTTCTATGCCCTGTTCGTGAAGAGCAAAATAGCAAAGGTAGCTCTTTAAAAAGTGTTTTGATTAATATTCTCAGCAGAGTGAAAACCCACTAACTCAACCGTGCTCTTTACTCCCCCAGTGTATCCGATTACAGATGATTATTTTTCTGAGCATAAGCTTCTCCCAGGCCCCTTCTCTCCTGTTTCAGGGCATGGAAAAGCGTTAAAGCTCCAGGGCCCAGTTCCCTGCTGCGCTGCTGTTGCGTGAGCGTGAAAGACACCAGGGAATCCGGGTGGCAGCTGAACCACGGATGAGATCCTGGAATGCTGGTTTTGCAAGGACAGGGACTGCTTTGCAAACCTGACCTTATCTGAGAGTGAGACTCCGTGGCTTTGGGGCCTGCCTTGTGACTGCCTGGTTGTAGAAGCTGTACCGAAATAATCTCCTGGCTGTAAACAAATTTATTACAGATTTGTAGGCTTCAAATCCACTCTGACAGTTTCTTATACAATCAGTGCAAATATTCCTTGTATCTGTGACTATAATCAGCTACTATTAAAATAAGATTAACTGATTTAGCTTTGGATTTTCTGCTTCTAAATGCTAGATGTCCTTCACCAGTAACAACAGTGTAGAAATTAGAAAGGTTCTTTTCTAACCTTGTACTCTGCCTGCTGTATGAAGGCTAAGATTGCAGACACCGAGGCTGCAGCTCCCTGGACCTGCTGCCTTTTGAATAACAGCAATAATAGTCCAGAACTCTGGAAGACCCCAAAAAATCATTAATTCCAAATACGAGGAAGTTGAAAAAATAATTTCGACAGCCTAAAATACACTCTTGCGTCCATCGATTTTGGACAGACACACACCAAGTTAAAAGTAAGAATAAGTTCAAATGCTTACTCTGAGGATTTTGAGGGCCAAACACGCAGCTTGCTGAAGTCTTGTATCACAGTCAGCTAAAACACCAGTGTAAAAAAGCAGAGCCTTTAAGGGAAGGGAGGGGAGAGGGAGAAAAAAACAAGTGGGGTTAACGCTCCAGTGCAATCAGTCAAATTGAGATTGCCAACATGAGCCCGTTCTTACCTATCAGCACCATTTTACCTAGTTGAGACTGAATTAAGAACATAGAGGAATCTCTTCAACACTCTTAGGCTTTAATTTCTAGTTAATTAATGAATTAACCAGATTCATTCATTCATTAACTAGATTAATGAAGTGCACAGAGGACAAAGTGCTGCTCCAGGAGAGCCCGAGCTGCGCGCGGTGCAGGGCCTGGTGGGGAGCAGTTGGAGCCAGCCCTACCTTTTCCCTCAAGCTGCTGTTTGCTGCCAGCCGGGAGAGGCAGGACGTGGCCGCTTTGCTCACGCGGTGGTTGTCGTCCAGCTGGAGCATCCCGAGGAGCCGCAGGGTCCGCGGGAGAGGCTGGAGCTTGTTCAGCCGCTTCCCCTTGAGCTTCTTCAGAGTCTTCAGCCGCCCGGGGCACTGGAGCTCCTCGATCAGCATCACTGCAAGGAAAAGGACTCGGCTGCACCCACCGGCACCAGCTAAGAGAGACAAACTGCCCTCTAGCTTTGCCTCCCTCAGCCTCTGTGGTTATTCACATGGATAACCAGCAAGCCTGGCAAGGCAGGAAGCAAACCAGGACAACTGCCCCCGTGACCATCCTGCCTCCCTTCCCGTTCGTTGTTTCATTCCCTGCTGTGCTGGGACTGCCCAGCAAGCGCAGCAGGACCGCGCTGCACAACCGCTGCTCCCACGGGTGCAGCAACACCCGCTACCTGCGTTAAACACAAGGGACAACTCCGGCACCTTCGTGCTGGAGGACAGTTGGACTAGTCCTAAAACACAGAAAAAAGAATCAACTAGGCCTGAAATAAGGGAAAAAAGAATCAAACAAAATATTTCTTTGAACACCTCACTATATTGGTCAAAAAGAAACACCTATATCTTCTCAAAACAAGAAATCAAGTACTGAGCTGACCATTGAAATTTGCAGAATCGTCACTGAGCAGTAACACACAAGTTCTCATTCCCCTACAAGATAAGTCAACTGTGTCAAAGTAAGACTGAAGGTACAGCCAATATCAGGACTATTTTTAAAATAATTCTTTTTGGAAACAAACTAAATGTTAAAGTCCCTGCATATGCTGGGCTGAGTTTCAGCAAGACACTAGCTACCTCTTAGCAACTGTGTTCTAGTGACCTGGAATTTAACACTATTATCTGTGTCTCATTACAGCTGCTAAAGTCAAATAAAGCTACAAACCATTTACACAGTCATTTAAGCGCAGATTGTTGCCAACCAAATTTCTGCTTTAACTTCAGCAGATTGCAGAACCCCCCTTTTTGTGGCTCTTGAGGTACACCCTTCCTTCACCCTTGTTTCATTTCTACCTAGTTAGAATTGGGAACCAGGTCTGACTTCCCTGTTCTGATTCAAAGTTGCATAGGCATTAGGGGAATTAAAATGGGAACCAAATGGCTAATGCACTGGTAGGCTGCTCTGCCCTGAAAATATTTCTTGAGTAGCAGCCAAACACTGGCCTTGCCAGTTCACGTGAAGGAGCCAAGTACCTGCCATTACCTTCTTTAGCAAGTTTTCCTAAGTGTTTCTCCAGGCTGGTAATGTGGAGCTTCTCCAGGTAGCTACAAAATTGGAATAAAGTAACAGGTTCTGCTTGGAGGTACGGAGTGGGGAGCAACCCATCACAGGTGACAATCTGCTCCAGCAAACTCTGCAACACTGAGGGGAACACAGAAAAGAGCAAGTGAGAAAAAAGAAAGTTGTTAACAACAAGATGCCTTAAAGCAAGTACATAAGAGTTTTAGTTTATTTTTAAAATACACAAAGAAAACATTTAGCCTTGCAGGATGGTACCAAAGTGGTCCTATGTTCAAGAAATGGACTGGTACCTGCTTCTAATTGCCCGGGGTATCTTTCCTTCACTTTGAGCGTCAGCAAGTACTTCAAGGCACGACGGAACCTCTCTGCTGAAGCAAACAGGACGCTGCCAGGCTCTGCAATGTCACTCCAGATTTTCAGAAAATGCTTTTTCTTTTTAGTCTTCTGAATAACTAGGGAAAAAAAAAGTTCTATGAAGTCAGCGAGATCTAGCAGATTTTGAATTTTATATGAGAAACTAGGTACCAGAGAGCACATCTAGAGCTGTGTCAGCACAACGTGCATTTGCAGCATGCAGCTGGCCATGTTCAGAGCTGGAGGCTCCTGCCAGCAGTTTAACATCTTGCAAGCAGCGATTTCAGCAGGCTGAGCTGGGCTCCTAAACTGTCGTTAATGAGACCCGAGCAGACGCCTGGCACAGTGACAGGGCCCCTCAATTCACTCTTCATTTCTGCCCTAGCTCTGAGTCGAGAGGCACTTTCCTCTTCACTAAAACTGTTCCCACTTGTCCCAGTGAGAGACGTGTCACTGCCAAGCGTTTGGAGATCCTGTTCACGTAGCCTCAGGAGAGCAGGGGGGAGTCCCAGTGAACAGGCTGAGCAATGTCTCCTCCTGAAGGGCTTTTGAGGAACACTTGAAAGAAATACTCTGTGCTTAAACCCTGTCATTTCTTGCTCTTATAGTAGAGATATTAAACCTGTATTCTGCATTTCAGACTCATACACTTTCCTCCTCATATTATCTTCCTTGCTTTAGGGGACAATTTATTCTCAGGTCTTTCAGCATAAAAGTTACGTCAGCAAGAGCTTCCTAATTGAATCTGCATCCCTGCCACTGCCTGTTACCAAGATGAGAACAAAGAACTTCAAGTCTTCCACAGCACCTTTACCCCCCCCAAAAAGCAATGCAACAAGTCAGGAGGGAAAGGGCTGAGATGGGAGAGCACACGCCAGCTCTTCTTGCAAAGGTGTACAGAGGCTGTGCTGTTTGCTTACTGTGCAGAAGAAGAAATGTGAGAGGATTTAAAGGTCTAAGACCTGCTGCTCCAGCTATTTTTGCTTTGATCTAAACTTCTTCAAACCTTTTCCTTCCTTGAAATATTAAATATATATATATATATATTTCATTAGCCCTGTTTTTTTTATAACAGCTTACAATTTATCTGCAAGATCTAACAGGAGTATTCACAAGGCATTCAGACTGAAACCCCGACGTGCAGCACTGCTCTCTGGAGCTCTTGGCACACCTTGGCATGATGCAGTTACTCACTCTCTTCAACGGAGCCCTCCGAGACCTCCCCCAGGACTTGTGTCTGCTGTGACACTTCTTCCAAAAGCCTCTCCTGGACAATCTGGGCTACGCTAGGTGACCTCAGCTTCTGAAACACAACATGATCTTCTCAGTAGCTGAAACAAAGGCAGTTACCAAGCTCAAGATGACAAAGACTGCACAATTTCTTGGAATCTAACTTCTAGAATCCATGGGAAAACATTAGTTTGTCTCAAAAGGCTCCTTTTCCCACCACATCGTGGACTGACCGCTCCTGAATGCAAACAGCTCGGCGTAACAGGGTGAGCAGGACCCATTCCTGTGCCCTGGGGGTTCCTCCGAGCACAGAGCCCTGGGCAGGTGCCCAGCAGAGCAGCACCAACAGCTCTGGTGTCCTCCTGCCCAGCCCCACAGAGCCTTGGCACGAGGACCCACAGGCTATTCGAGAAGCCCCTGCATATCCTGCACGTTACCAGTTTCTTTCTAGTGGTGGTAGTTTTTCACAGCGAGCAGAGTTCATCTCTGCTATCTACACTCAACGCTGACCTGCCCCACTTCACCTGCAGCCTGCTCACCATTCCCCTGTGCACAGGGTTTACTGCTTCTCCTAAACCCAGAGGCCAAAAGGGAGCAGAGAGCCTTTTCTGCAGGGTTTGCATGATGGCTTCTGGGCAGTGCACACACCACATTGCTGAGACCTAACTTCTATTCAGCTTTTGTAGAAGAACCAGCTACAACTTTATGCTTATTCACAATTACCACCAACGGTTTCAGTCCGCAGCATGCAGGCTGCTCCTTACCTGCAGCAGGGATTTGCACAGCTTCAGATGAGTTATCAGGAGTGTGTCTAAGCTGTCATCACCAGTAGTAACATCTCTTGCTTCTGTCTTAATGTCACTGCTCAGGGAGTGCAACGTGTTGTCATTGTACGTGCTGTAGAAAGCAGAAGGGAAATAAAAGAACTGAAATGTTGCCCCAGCACAGTGATGTAGGACAGTCTCATGAAAACTGAGAGATTTTATTTAAAATTCCTAGGTGCATTTAGCCTCTGAAATCCTACGTTTTCACTAAATTAGTATGAATTCATGCACTCTCGTTAGTAGCCTTCAATCAAGTTGCAAAGGTAAAAAACAGGTGGCACTTAGCAGATAGCTGGCACTATTAAGATGGCACTTAGAAGCATTTTTGATTGCATTTGTAACACTCCCTTAAAAAAATAATCAGTATCAGTGTTTCTGGGACCAGCCTTCCCTACCCTTTGCATCACCCCCTTTAACGAAGGGCTGCACATACATACCTGACACTGGCTGTTCTTACGCTTCCAAATAATGAAAGTTCATCTGCGCTGCAGTCAGTATTCAAGAAGTCAAAACTTTCCAGCACTGTCTCCACCATTAAACTTTCCATAGATGAATGTTTGCGCGGAAGTGTCTTTAGCTGTATTTAGAAAAGGGGGAAAACTATTGTTATTTGCATGGATCAAGTCATTTTGCAGGAGTTCTTCAATGATTTTCAAATTGCTCTTAATAACAAAGCAGTCTGCCACACTCATTTTATTCTTGGCACACTAGGAAAATTAACTCTTTGTACACTACTTTGATTCCAAAATAATGCTGCTAATTAACTTCATGATACACTTCCATATTCTAATCCAACTTTACTTACTCCTTTTTGGCTTTCCATACATGTTAGTGTTGGTATGAGAGGTAATTTTCCCTGTAGCCCCTGCCTTTAGTACAACCCTCACTCATTCCCTGTTTCAGATCCAGAAGGAGCAATGTGGGGGTCTCTAGCATGCCAGCACAGAACTTTCCACTTAACAAACAAGGATTTCACAGGGCCACCAACACTCTTCCCCCAAAAAGGCTGCTGGTGGGGGGGGACACTTGCATTTTTAAAATTCTACGTTTTAGTACTTGTTTTAGCCAGTGCAGCATTGCCAATAACTTTTTTATTCTTGGCGCCATGCACTACAAGGTGAATTTGCAGGACAGTCTTTCAGAAAGCTCTGATCCAGGATCTTTCTGCTAAAGAAAGAAGTATTTTCAGCATTATATGGTGACTTGTCACACAGACTGGTCTGCCTGCAGAAGCACAGGTGACTGCAGAAACATTATATTTGATGAGCTGATGCAGCCATTTCATGGTATATTGAGTCTGAAAAAAATCAGAAGAGTACCTATCTGCACATCTCGTGAATTAAAAATGACACATAATCCATAAACTCTGGCACACAGTCCAGATCCTGCTTACCTGGACTACTCTCCCCTCTGGCCAGATGCAGTTGTTCTGCTTTTCCTGGCTCACTGACCCATGCCCAGTATTTGAGCTGCCCTGAGAGATGCTCTGCACATCCTGCTGCTGTGGAGTGACTCCTGGGGCTGCCTCCTCTGAGCAGGGCCCGACCTCTGGTGGCCAGACCAGCTTTTGAGGGACACGACACCAATGCATCTTATTAAAAAACTCGGGGTCATGAAACTCGGGGTCATGAAACTTTCACAACTTCTAGGAATAACAGCGCAAACACTGCCATCTCTCAAGAGCATAATACTACCATACCTTTAGTTTATCCCTCACACACAGGACCTGGTGTTCCAATTTCTCCAGTTGAGCTTGTCTCATATCCCAGAATTTCAGCAAATTTAATACTTCCTGGAGAGTCTTATTGATTGACTTTGCACATCCATCTAATTTTAGGTCATTTTCAGCATTCAAGCTTCTCTGGCTGATGTTTTCTTGCTCTGTCAAACGGTGATTTCTGGTCTGGTTGATAGAATCTCTACTGCCTTTGCCACGAATCACAAAGCCAGAAGGGGTATTTGGAAACCCATCCACACAGGGAGTTTTCTTCAGTATATCTAGAGTTGCGTGATTTGGAAGGGGATGCTGTCGTTCTTCTGCACTAGTCTCCTGGATAATTACCAGTGGCAACGTCCTGTGGCCCAGGGCCGGAGTCGTGTCCCTGGATTCTGTCCCCCTCTGATCCTCGGAGCTGAGCGAGCCCGCCTCGCTCGTCGCGGCAGCGCTGGGAGCTTTGCTCCGTGGGTGCACGCCGAAGTCACAGGCAGCCAGGTAGCTCAGGATGCTGGGGGGCTGAGCTGCCTCTTTCACCTCTCCTTCATTCTGGCGCTGCTGCAAAACAGACTGCAGCAAACAGAGACACAAGTGAGCACAAGGATGACTGACGAGCAGGAGACACCACCAAAGACAGAGAACCATCGTTTCTTGTTCCTGGAAACCCAGCATGCCCAGACACCCAATCCTAAGGTTTGTGCATCACATTCTGTTTTCCTCATACTCACCAGGTAATATTTCTCTCTGAAGCTGGGAGTATTTGGTGGGGTCCAGTTGTATAAAGAGCTTTTCCTGCTGCCCACAGAAAACTTGGCAGTGGTTCCAGGTGACAAAAACAGGTTGTCTGTGTCAAAGGGGCTGCAGCAGGAGACACAAAGGCCTAAGTGTTAGTAAGACCAGAAAGCACAGAGATGTTTAGCAACAGCAACAGCTGCTGGGATTTAAATCGTGAAATTTGGTAAACATTTAGACATTTAGAGGGAAGAAAAAGAGAAACCGCCTCTCTGACCAATTTCCTCAAATTCAGCAGCAGAGAAAGAAGTAGATGAAAAGCTCACGTATTTCACACAGTGTGTGAAACTTCTCCACACCCTTCAGACAGGGACCTGTGCCACCACCTCTGGAAGATGACTCCAACAGGCCAAGGAGGACAGTTCTGCAGTGTCCTGCTCAGGTAACAGTTTTGGTAAGCACAACACAGGTTGCTTGGTTATGGCCACTGTTCCAGTAAGGAAGGAGATATAAAACATGCAATAAAGGAAAATTTTGACTGGTTTCACCCTTAATAAGCATATGTCACCTGGAAAAGCCTCTGTAAACCTTCTTAATCCTGCAAATATTTTTCAGTAACTGCTTTGGTTGGCAGAGGGAGCTTGTATAGCGGCACATGGCTCGCTATGTGGTTCATACAGTCATGGATGAGCCCACAATTCTGGCCTTGGAGGACACTGGCTCTACTCTTGGAGATGTTGACAAGCCCCATTCCAAAGGTTTCCCAATCCACCAGCACATCTCAGCCATTCCTTTCCCAACTCCTTTGCAACCTAAGGAGACTTGGATGAACTTGCTCAAGAAACACACCTCAGGAGAGGGAGAAGATCGAAAGCTCAGTAGAGCAAGGTTATTTTCTCCATTGCTTTTGTTCCCTACTGATATGTCTCTTAGTGCCAAAGGAAAGTTTATTTTTACAGTTAAGCACTGACATATTGAGGGAAAAAAAGCACTAACTGGCTAGAGCAAATCAGTAATCTCATAGGTATCAATATAAATAAAAAGACCAAACAGTAGTATGAGGTCAACTGCATTTAGCTGTACAAGGAACCACTGGAAGGTCTGAAAAGAGCCAAGTGATAACAAGGACTAATTGGTTACAGAAAAATAAATGTTTGCTCTTGAGTAAACGCAGAGCTCTGCTTCTCCTCCCTCTTTGCTGCTGGATGCACAGACAGTCCTCGGCAGCTCCCTGCAGCGGATCCCGCACCACCATCATCCTCAGCACGGAGGCAGCGCGCTCTGAACTTGCCCAGTGCAGGTTAATTGGCCTAATTAACCAGCTGGGGCTCCTCAAAGAGGCCAGTTCCATGCAGTCACACTAACAACCATCTGCATTGTCTCACTGTGCAGAGAATAAATTCAGTTTCTGACAGCAAGAGCCTTTAGTGAAAGCCCACTATGTTTACTGATGAAAGCAAATTACTTCCATCCATCCACAGTGTTTCTTAGGAAGAGATCCATTCCTGGGATCCATTCCAAGCCAAATCCATCCTGCCCCTGCTACAGCTACTAGAGCCCTCCAGCAAGGCTGGCTCTCCTGCCCGCGCCGCGGGCACACGCTCAGGCAGGAAAGGGAAGAGGAGGGTGGAAGGGCCCTGGGAAGAACGAAGGCCCCTCCAAGGTGTCCGTCCTCTCTTCCCTGTCAGCCCCTTCGGCACAGTCTGTCCATGCTGGGGCAGATCTAAGGGTCTCCCGCCTGCTTGACATTGACAGAGGTTGGCAGGGGATACACAGGGGAAAAACAATGGAAATACGTTGAATAAAGAAGGTCCTCCCAGAGGATCTGTGGAGCTGAGTGCCTCCAGGCAGCCTGCAGTGTAGATCTGCTGGGAATCAGTCTCTTCAAGCAGAGCAGTCGTCAAGAGCCACATCTTTCCTTAGTTTATCTAGTCACAACCTGAGCTCGTTGACAAGAAGCCTCAGTGCAAAGCAGAAATTTCATTATTCAACTTTGAATTACGGAACAAGAACGTTTATTGGAGTGAGCTCCTTGATGGTACTGACATAAACAGTGAATAATAATAGTCGCCTCAATGAACAATTCAACTTTCCTACCTTTTCCATGCTGAAAATTTCTATTTAGTTCCTTCTTGTAACAAAAGTGGTTCCTGATCATTTGTGTTGCCTTTCTATCCCCATTCTATTTCTGTATTGTCAAACACATTTTGCCCTTTAGTTAGGGCTACTTACAACATTGGCACTAAGTGCACAACGCTGCAGTACCATCATTCACAGGCGGTGTTAACGCCATGTACAACACCCCTTTAGCTAAGGGAAGTCCCCATCATTGCAGCACTTCAGCAGTCAGATCCCAAATGCGCATATCCAGTCTAATCCTGAAGTGATTTCCTTGTTTCACACCAGGAGCTTCAAATCTGCCTAGATTCAGAGATGCCCCAGCCTTGGTGGTACTGAGCCATAGCCACGAAGGCAGGAGGGAGGTTCTTGAGATTTCTCCATTTTCTCACTTGCCTGCGTACCAGAGACACCTTCTGCTTTATGCCCTCAGAAGGACAAATGTAACTAGGCAGCACATTCAGGACCTGAACTCAATTCTTTCTTCAGCCCCAGAGCATCTGAATTTCTTCGTTACAATCAAGACAGTGCCCTAATCCCTTCCTTCCTGTCCACTCATTACCTATATCCCACAGAGCCTGGAGGGCTCATGGTGGCAAGGCCTGTCCCCCTTCCAGACTCCCATTAACACAAAAACCCTGCTCACTGTTATTACCAATCATGAGATTTCTCTTTTCCCTATTGACCACAGGTGAAAACACCTAGGCAAATTTAACAAGATGATCATTATTTGTCTTCTGCTATTCATTAAAGCACTATAACCACCAATTTAAAGGCTAGCACAGCTATAGGACTCAGCTATAGCACTACTCCCAAAGAAGCACAGAAATATTTTGCTGGGCTGCTTCCCACAGACGCTTGTGTAAGTAACCACCTTCTCAGACACACCTCTGCGTGGAAAAGCAAAGCTTTTAGAGGAATGTATCAAAGACGCAGGGTTTTATTTTGATTATGGTGATCCCTGGGGGGTTGTTTCTCTCCTCCCCCACCAGCACAGGCCGCCCTGGGCAGAGGCCGCCCAGAGCCCGCGCTGGACGGGGCGCTCGGCTCCCCGGCCCGGGCTCCAGCCTTCCCGAGAGGCTCCCGCCTTTCGCTTTGTGCTTCAGACAAGAGACACAGGCCCCACACTGCTGTTTAGGTTGGCCCCAAACCCAGAGCCTTCTGCCAGCTTAGCCTGCAAAGCAATTAGACAACAGGCCCGTGCTCATTCATGCCACTCATGACACAGTCTATAAAGGAGGAGAAGGAACTTTTATTAGAGCCCAGAAGACTAGTACCCTAGTTAAAGAAAATATACATTTAGAAGTGGAAGAATGATCTACTCTTGGATCTCTCACAGCAGACCGAGTGTGAAAGCTTGCCCCTGAGGAAAGTTTGGGCGTAGCAGCTGGATTTGTTTAGTTATTCTTAATTCAAAGGAAAAAGCAGCTGTTATTTTCAGTGTTTTATCTTTTAGAATAGAAGCCCCCAGTTATCCCCATGCAAATACTCTTTTCTGTAAATAACTTGAGCAAAGAGGCTGTCAAAGAGGAGGAACCTGCCAGTTCTGTGCAGAAGTGCTCTGGAGAATCCCCTTGCAGAGACACCAACACATTTTGCAAAGCTTTAGAACAGCAAAGACACATGGCTGGAAATTCCACGTGGGGATTAAATCCCAAAGGAAGCGCGTCACTGCCAATCCCTCTCTCAGCTCAAAAAGCTGGGTTAGGGTTGTCCCAGAAGTGCATATATTGCCATTCCAAAACTGTGCTGTGGGCCACAAGCTACAGTAACAATCAAGTGACAATGTAATTTAAATTATATATTTCTAGAAAATTATTTAGTCACAAAAGCAATTTGCTTTGGGGAGACTTAGACTCTTATTTGAGAAACGATGCAATATCCCAGAACAAGAAGGCGTTTCCCCGTCCAGCCCTTCTGGAAGAAGGGCTTTCATACACATGAATCTATAAATTTATTGACAGCAAGGCAAGGCAAGCAAGCAGAGAGCAAACTGAGCAAAAATAAATATGAAGTGAGACCATCTGTTAGAGAGCATTTCTATGTCAGCAAGAAGAGTTTAGAAACGATTTCTTCCAAACTCCACCATGAACGTGCCCTTCCTGAGTACAGCACTTCCTAGATCAGGGCATAAATGAACTTTATACCCAGTTTAGTAAAGAAGATGTTTCCTTTACTGTGCAAGTGTAGTTTCTTCAGATGTTAGACTTGAAGTCATAACAGAAAAAGTAAAGAGTTCCCTTATGAGAAAAGCACCCCTGCAAACAGCATTCACAGCTAAGCCCCTTCTGCCCTGACCGTGTATAGAGCTTTTGATCATTTCAAATCCAGAATAAAGGCAAGGGAAATCGTGGAGGTGTTTGAGGGGTAGTGGGAAGCAAATGACACAAGAAATACATATGCTAAAATAACAAAATATTTTAGTTGGCCTTGGTTCAGAGAAGAACTTTCCTTTTAACAGCTGAAACACAACAAAAAATGTGCAACATCCCCATTCCACCTACTTATCAATAGCTTTGCTAAGATGATCTCTGCTTTCAGATTCAAGGGGAAATACACGAATATCCAGGCATGGGGAAGGGGAAACTTGACGGGGTGTATGTGCAAGATCACAGCACAGAACCACAGCGGCTGACGCTTCTGGAATGAGGCTTCCTTAGCCAACTAATTATCAGTTCAGATCCTCAAATAAGAAACACTGGGGCCTCACAAGTCTCAGAGCAGCTGCACCTCACCAAAACATGTCCTGCTGCCCACTGCTAGATCTCGGGAGGAAAGACAGTGTCATAAACAGCAGGTGCAGGCAGATCTCCTCTGCGCGAGCGAGTTTGTCACTGACTTAGAGCAATGTGCATGTTTGAAAATAAACTTGCCAAAGTTGTTGCTTCAGCTCAAACACATTTCCAGTTAAACAGAATGGAGTTTCAAGGACTGTAGCATATACAGAGACACTCAAAAAAAAAAAAAAAAAAAAAAAAAAAAGGGTGTTTATCTGTAAAGCTTTTTTTTTT